CTCCCTGCCATCGTGTATCCCCCTACCTACTCCAACTCCTCCCCTTCCTCTACCCGCGTGTTACACTCGTTCACGAGTGCACGCTTATGGGCGCAAATGCGCGTTCAGGCACACACGCTCGCACTTTCATGCACTCGCATCTGCAATCTCTCACATCCTGCTTACCACTGCAAGAGAGTGTGCAAGAGATGAATAAAGCGTTCATCTCTCTGGATGGAGGGAGGATTCTGCTACCGCCCACCTGGAATCCCAAAACGCCCACTTGTGGGCGGTAGGAACCAGGTTGACGACCCATGCTCTACAAGGTAAAGCACCAATGAAGATGTCTATGGGTAGCTCATCAACACATTCATTTAATATCCAAAAACAATATTTTAGTTACATCAATATTTCATGAATGATACAAAGAAATAATGATGAATGCATATTTCAAAAATTAATGCAAAAAAAATAAAAAATGCTCCCAGGAACACGATCTGTGCCACAGTAGTTACCGAGAGGCATAGCCAATGAAACATCTGTACAAGAGAAAAATTTGTACTGGCAGGTCAATAGTCCCATTCGCTTTTGAGAAAGTGAAGTTCAAGCATATAAAAGGCATTTGTTTATGTGATGTAAATAGAACAACCCGAACTCCAATAAAGCCCAGACATGTTTTGGGGGGCTGAAGGCATTGACCAAAATTTGATTAAAAAAAACAGAACCAGCATTAAACATTAGCTTGGAAAACAAAGGCTACCACATGCTTCCAAAAGAAGTAGTTCCCACCATTATTTGCCATGAGATCTAGTCCCATGTCCTTCCTCACAGAGCTTGTCCTCCCAGGGCCCAGAGTATGGATTCCAGTAAACTTGGAGATTGTGCTAGCCAGGATCCCTGAAACTCTGACAATAAAAGAAAGAAAAAAAAAAATCAACCAATGCACAAACAGGAGTGACAGGCGGGAAACCATAATAGACCTGTTCTACCTTACAAAGGTACAAAAACTGTAATCCCATTTCTTGATTCTAAACCACAACATTATTTGTAAGTAATGGAAACCAGGCCCAATCAAGTTGTGACTAATTCTGACTGACATGAATAGCTGTGCAGTCGAGAGCCCCATTCCTCAAATGGTCCAGGGGTTTTCTTTCCACTAACATTGTAAAGTGAAAAATGATAAAAGGCAAAGAGCGTGATTCATGTATTGGTGCAGCATAGGCACTTTTGTCAGGGGCTGATAAACACATAAATGGATCATTACTGCTGTGGCTAGCTAGTATATTGAAGATTCCCCTCTCAATGACCGAAGTATAGGGATTGGTTTGTCATTACATTTCAGCTCTGATAGAGGTGGTCCTCTAGGCATTTTGAGAAATTGTATCCTCAATATTTTGCTCTGTCCATATGACAGAATTATTAATGTCTGAAGAAGATTAACAAGTGTATTGAACTCATCAGGACTCAAATGCATATTTGATTTATATTTGACACTAGTGATGTCCCGAACGGTTCGCGAACGGTTCGCCGAACGGTTCGCGAACGGTTCGCCAC